TCTTGATTTTTGATTTCATATCTAAAAATTCATCTTGCAACCCAAGGTCATCTAGATTTTCCTCTATGTTACCTTCTAGGAGTTTATTCCTTTCACATTTTACTTTCAAATCTGTAATGTGTCTTGAGTTAATTTTTGTGAAATGTATGGTGCCTGCGTCTCCATTTGTGTGTGTGTGTGTGTTTGTGTGTGTGTTTTTGCATGTGGATATCAGTTATTTCCACCACAATTTGTTTAAAAGACCTAATTTTTCATTTGACTTGCCTTTCCTTCTTTGTCAAAGATCACTTGACTATATTTGCGTGGGTCTATAAGGAAAGCAGTGCACCCACGTATCCTTCAGCCTTGCTATACTCTCATTAATTCCATGAGTTATTCCTGTTGTTACGAATTCTTTTAGCCATTTCACAGACTGTCATGCCATATGGAAAAAATGTTATAAATTTAGCTACAGCATTCATAAAGATGTTCTTTCTTAAGAGGTGGAAGTTCCTCTTTATTACCAGTTTGTTGTAAATGGATGATGGATTTTATCAAATCCTTTTTTGGTTTCATTTTTCCCTCCTTTCCTTTCTGATATTAGTAATTTCTGTCTTCCATCTTTTCTTTGTTTTCTTGACTAAATGTTTATCAATTTTATTAGTCTTGTCAAAGAACCCTTTTCTTGTTTTGATTTTCTCCATTGATTTCCACAATGAGATGGATTTCTTTTCTAATTTTTATTATTTCTTTTATTGTGCTTACTACAGTTTAAATGTGCACTTCTTTTTATTGTTTCCTAAGTTAGTTGCTTACATTGATTATAGATCTTTTGTTTTTCCAGTGTATTTGTTCAATGGCATAAATTTCCCTCTAGGCACTCCTTTTGCTGCTTCCAAGAACCATTGTTATGTTGTGTTTTCATTTCTTTTAGTTCAAAAGAAATTTTGATTTCTCTTGAGACTTCTCTGATCCTATGTATTATTTAGAAGCGTGCCCCATGGCTTAGCGGTTAAGTGCGGGCGCTCCACTGCTGGCGGCCTGGGTTCAGATCCCCGGCGCGCACCGACGTGCCGCTTCTCCAGCCATGCTGAGGCCGCATCCCACATACAGCAACTAGAAGGATGTGCAACTATGACATACAACTATCTACTGGGGCTTTGGGGAAAAAAAGAGGAGGAGGATTGGCAATAGATGTTAGCTCAGAGCTGGTCTTCCTCAGCAAAAAGAAGAGAATTAGCATGGATGTTAGCTCAGGGCTGATCTCCTCACACAAAAAATAATAATAATTAACAATAATAAAATAAAAATAAATTAGAAGTGTGTTATTGAATCTCCACATAGTTGAGGTTTTCCAACAATCTTGATGTTATTCACTTCTAGATGAATGTCTAGGTGGTGTGAGAGCAGATTTTGTGTGAGTTCTGTTTTTTCAAATTTGATAAGGTGTGCTTTATATCCTAGAATGTGGTTTGTCTTGGAGAATATTCCATGTGAACTTGAGAAGAATGTATATTCTGCTGTTGTGTATGAAGTATTCCATAGAGTATAATGAAATCCACTTGTTTCATGGTGTTCTTCAGTTCACCTCTGTCATTCCTCATCCTGCCTACTGGAATTTGTAATTCTTGGTAAGGGGGAGTTGAATTCTGCAGCTTTAATACTGGATTCATTTATTTCTCCTTGCATTCTATCAGTTCTTGCATCGTGTACTTTGCCCCTCTGTTGTTATGCAGGTACACATGAAGCATTGGTGTGCCTTCTTGGAGAATGGACCCCTTTGTCAGTGTCTAATGCCCCTGTCTATCTCTGCATTTTCCTTTGTTTGAAATCTGCATTGCCTGTGATTCATATACCTATGGCAGCTTTCTTTTTACTAGTGTTGTCATTGTCTATTTTTTTCCATCCCTTTACCCTTCATCTGTCAGTGTATATTTAAAGTGAGTTTCTTGTAGAGAATTTGTAATTGACTTCTTTGAAATCTGATATTACTGTGTGTTTCAATTGTATTGATACCATTGATAGTTAAAGCTGTTATTGATAAAGCTGGATTAGTATTTATGAAGTCTTGGTGTTGTATTTTTTGCTTTTGTTTCTTTTTCTTTTTGTCTTCCACCTTTTATCTGTCTTCTCTGGCTGAAATTGAGCATTTTCTCAGATTGTTTTCTTCTTGTCTCTTAGAATATCAGTGACACATTTTTGAAAAGCATTTTGTAGTGGTTGCCCTTGAGTTTTCAGTATACGTTTACAACTAACCCACCTCCTCTGCCAAATAACACTACACCACTTCACTGTTGTGCGA